CTCCTTTTCCATTTGTTAGAGACAGTGACGTAGGAGAAGTGCAGCAACACATGCTCTCTAACTCTTAACAGAGTGCGCAAAATTAATGTAGGGTGGCATCATGGCATGGTAGGATTATTCAGGGGTGGATTACTGGTAGTTTATGAAGTTGGAATGGTTGGCAAAATTATAGAAGTTATTAAGGTTTTGTTGGGTAACAAAAGGGCAGGGATTGACATGAAAGATGGGAATTTGTGGACAGATCAGGGGCTGATTTTGTAAATCTTTATATCTTAGGTGAATTGTTTAGGGTTGTAAATTAGGATCAAAATTTAAAGAAAAGGTAAATTAGATCATGTTTGGAGGTTTGAAGGCTTAAAATCATGGTATTAAAAACCAGCCGAGTTGTAGGGTAGTGGCCGCTTCGGACCGGAATTTTGGAAGCCCGAGTAGGTTACACCCCGCTTTACTGGGCTGAATCAAAATTGCCGCTGAATAGTCTGGTTCACTTTATTTTCAAATAAAAAGAAATTTATTTAAAATCTTAAAACTTGCCAGATTGCAACTATCCATATGGCTTTAAACGCATTGTATGCTGTAGTAGCCTATTAAAAAGAGATGTAGCACCTCAAGTTGGTTTGATTGCCTGATGTGGGATTGCTGTTATTTGTATAGAAGCAAAGAAATGAAACGGGTGTTTATAATTGACTTGTGATGGCTCATAGCCCTTCTCTACTCAATTTGGGATTGATGCCATATTGATAAAACGCAAAGCCAAGCTCCACATTTTCTTTCCTGAGCATTTTCCAGTGCATCAATCCATCTATTGCTTGTTAAGTGTGTATTTTTTCGGGGGGGTTAACATTAATTTTCTTTATTCATAAGCAATACATATTTTTAGATGTCACAATATTGATTAAAACATGACAAATTAAGATTAAACCCTATATATAGACTATAGGCAACTGTAACGTAATAGAACATGGACTTCCAATTAAGAAACTGAGACATGATTTCATAAGCTGAGTTTTGGAAGAAATGATAGAAGACCAAATGAATGCATTCATAGAAAATCATAAGTGGCATGACCATTTTAGACCTTATGGGTTCTGATATAGGATAAATGACCTGGGAGTCACGGGTTCAAACATACAAAACTTTTCCACACATGGGGGTAAGACTGCATATATTTAACCCTCTCTAGATCCACAGTGGCGGGAACCTTGTGCACTGGGACTGCCCTTTTTGATGTAGGATAAATGACATCATCATAGATGGCATTATGTGGATGCATGTACTGGACAATTAAAGAATGAAAAAAATTTGTAAACGTTGAGTCGTGTGCCTTCTAATGTAGAAATCTTCTTGTGTTCACATGACAAAAACTTTTGTGGCTCCTTTCTTTTGATTGACTAACTTTAGATATAAGTTTGGTGCTGGCTTCAATTGAAATGTATGATCTGAGTCAGTATTCATGAATATAAGAAAATTTATGTATTTTTTAATAGGCCATATAAGAAAATTTATTCTACCTGTTTAATACTAGAATCATGAGTTTGAATTAGAATTTATCCTCTTATATCCAAAACCATATATTATTGACTTTAATTTAAAATATCAAGTGTGATCATTCCCATCCAATCAAAAAAGCTTCTCCCCCCCCCCTATTGGATGAATGGATTTCCTGATTTTGATGAATTGCAAGATAGAAAAAATCTTTGTTTTTTTTATTATTATCAATTTTATCAATTATTTGAGTCTTAGTATTTTTATTATTGTTGGCATCAATATTATCAATTCAACTTAGGTTGCATTCTTAGTTTTTTTGTGCCATTAATGATAGATTTTATAGAAATGGAAATGTAACACTCAATTATACAGTTTGAACACAAAACCTTTACATATGGTGGAATGACATATTCCATTAAATATAGTTTATACATATATATTCTCTGGAAGATTTGTGTGCTCAATGCAAAAGAACTGAGTTGTTCACGAACAACTCAAGCTTGGCTCTTTTAAAACTCGTTTAAGATCGAGCCAAATTACATGATTGTTCCATTCCCTAATATACATGAAAAAGAAAAGCAAAAAAGTAATCCGATGTCTTTTATTTTAAGCACTGTTTCTGTTCTTTAGTCTTTTGTTTACAGTGCATATTTATGTATACAGCATGGATTCCGTTGCATTTATGCTTATCGTTTGCCAGGAATCTTGATTTCTAGGTCAGCAGAACTATCTCTGTAATTTTTACTTATTTTCTTGTTAATTGCGCTTGGTAATTTTTCTCTTCTTGCCCTGAATATGCTTTTTGTTTCTGATTTCGTAGGCCTGCCTTATTGCTGATATTGTGCAACATTTTGTTGACGCAAAGCTCGAGTTTGATGCACCCTATGTCTATCAAGATGTAAATCGTGCAATTCAGCATGTTCACGGAAGTGGCTTGGCTCATAGAGGAATTTTATCTGATCCGCAAAGATACCCAGTTAAAGATGTGCGCGACGATGAACTCTATTCTAATATTTGTATAATTTGCTTTTATTGTTCGAGGTCTCTTGTTCTTAACTCATTCTCAGGTTAGTGATGGCTCATTGTAAAATGGGACAACGGCTATACTAGTATATTTGGTTAATTTTAATCTATTATACTGGACACTTGAAAAATTGTTATTGTATGGTTAAACCTTGGAGAGTCAGCTGCAACGCTTTCTCAGGATGCTAAAGGAAAATGGGAAGAAACTTTTCTTGTTGACCAACTCTCCGTATTATTTTGTGGATGGAGGGATGCGTTTTATGTTAGAGGTGACACTCAGAAAAGATATCCCCTGATCACCTTTATTTTTATATTCCTTTTGTATTTGCATCCTTCTACATATTGCTGGAACTCCCGGAGATTTTTTGTAGTTTCAATTTGGACTTTGTGGTTACTGTTTTTGAAACTGAACTTTTGTCATGGTGATTCTTGCTTGTCGTTTAATTATGTATAAACTTTCCTAATTTTGTCAGCATTATACTTTTCTGATTTGCCTAGTGTTGACCCGTGTTATATTACATGCAAATTGCAAACCATATACAGAAAACTGTATTGGGTAAGACACGTGCATATAAGAGCTCTAAAGAGAGCTCCAGTAATGTGGCAAGGAGTGGGGCGCATATGTGATGTGATGTGATGTGATGTGCGTGCCTATGTTTTTTATTTTTCTTCTCTTGCCACTTCACTAGAACTCTCTATCATTGTTGGTTTAGTTAAATGTAAAAAAACATTAACTACATTAATGAGTAAGAAGTATATACACTTTGCCGTAACCAATTTTTTGGGGGGCAACTTGTATGGCCGAAGCCCTAAGCAGGGATAACTCTAGGATTTGTTGATCCTAACAGTACATTGTATAGCAGAGTTCTCAACCCTAGAGAGGGATCCTCCATGTTCGCTTCTGGACAAGTTATCCCAAACCTTGTAAAACTAGTTCACACATTTATTAGCCTCTGTAAGTCTGGACCACGTGATACTGACGCCGTGCGTGGCCTTCAGATGGCAGTGTTCTCAAGATTGTTGTTCCTAACTCTAAACCACTTTAGTATCTAGTTGATCACCAGAACGCTTATCTAATAGAAAATAAAAGAAACTGGACATGCGTATTAGAATCTGATACTGTTCTTTGTTTGTGCACGCGGGCTCGAAAAAAAAATTATTGTTTATCATGTGCATCAGTTGCATTTTAAGATTTGAATTACCCCCTCCTTAACATTCGTGAAGATTGTTACATCTAGGTATTTAAAATTGCATAACTTTTCTTGATTGTTTAATAAATATATATTATATGTATTTGTGTCTTCTACGTTAGGTGTGTGTTAATTTTCTGTCGTTGTCAATCAGTCTCTCTGGGACAATTTTAATGTAAACCACGAAATGTTTATATGTCATGTTATTCTCCCATTTCCAATGGAAGTCAGATCCTTTGTGACAGTCAAAACTCTACATTTTCTCTCAAGTTGCAATGTCAACCCTTCGTCAATGATTCCTGTTCAATTTGAATGGAATTAAATTAAACATGTGGTTGTTACATGACTTAATTTGGTAGCACATTAAATCTTTATCCCACCATATTTCACTGAAGACTCACTTTAATCCCTAAGATTTGATATGACAGATCAACTAATTTTTAAGTCATGCGATAGACCCATGGTCAGTTTCAGTTCATCTAAGAAGCATCGATACTTCTAAGAAGGTGGTGTGTCTGTGTTGGACAAGTGTCGGACACCGATACTCATCGAACATTTCATGACACATGTCCAAATGTTTAGATATTATTTTAAATTGTTTTTTAACACAGGCTTTCGGGCACACTTGGGACCCTTGGGGACAGGCATGACCATTGCTTAAACGTATATGAAACACATTACAATTTTGAACAAAATAACTAAAAGGATACAATGATAAAAGAACAGCTTTAAACTTTAGATAATAGTGTTGTGTTGCAGTTTTTAAATTCTATTTGTAATGATAATATCTATGACATATCTAAAATATATAAAATTATATAATTTCATGTCATGTGTCCATGTCCATGCTTGTTAGCTGTTCCTCTTCTAAATGGAAGTTGATAGAGGGTTGACATTGAAATTTGACCAAAATTACAGGGTTGCGACCATCAAAATTGGAAGTACATGAATTAAAGTGGAATTTAAGGTAAAATACAATGGTGCAAACTGTAATTTATCCTTTACCAATTTAGCATTATGTACCCATTTGTTTTTCTTTTCTTTTTTCTCCCACATTTGTGTATCGAGTATTTTGTTTCCTTTTTTTTTTGTTTTTTTGTTTTGGGTTGATCTTTTCTTACTTTTTTTGAATTTCTATTGCTGATCTATATGGAAACACTGAAATTAAGTTTTTTAGTTGTCTTTTTACATTTGAATTAGGATTCTTTGGGCGAAAGAGGCTCCTGGAGAGAGCTTTTTGATGTTGTGATTGCTAAAGCGAATAAACCAGAATTTTACACATCCGAGAATCTATTCCGGTATTTTCTTCAACTCTAAGCTCTCCAGCTGTTTTGTCACATTTTTACATTAAAAAATGGAATATTGCTTTCTTGTGCTTCCTACTTTGACAGTTTCCCTTAAAATATTTCCAATCTTTGTTTTTTGATTGAGCCTTTTAAAGGACTGATTGTGTGATGTAATTTTGCTTCTGTAATTTGTGGGCTCATTTTGATGAATTCTCTTATAGTTTTAACATTGCAATTTTGTGTTTTTGTTTTGTGTACTTCTTGCCTCTACATGGGCTTTGTCCCTTTTCAAGGGTTTTTAATGGTCATAGAAGCCACATTTGAGGTTGGATAGCAGCTATGAATCTTGAAATTGGTTTTGACAGCTGAGGTTCTTTGAGGTGCTATTCTCTTTAATTTAGTTATATTACTTGGACTTAGGTGAGAGTGGGCCTGGGCGCAATGGTAAGGTTGCACCATTGCAACCTGGGTTTCACAGGTTCAAACCACAGAAAAAGCCTCTCTGCGCCTAGGAGTAAGGCTGCATGCATTTGATGCTCCCCAAACCCCGTAGTAGCGGGAGCCTTGTGCATTGTGACTGCCCATTACTTGGTCTTAGGAATGTACATCAAATGTGGATACATGTCCAAGTGTCAGGTTGATTCATTGCCAAGTCCAAAATATACAAGGAAAGGACACGACAAAATGTTCATATTTTTCTTTGTTTTTGTTTGTGCTGTAAATAAAATGGTACCGTTACGTAACATTAAGCATCAAACATAGGTAATTCACTCTATTTGTGACAACTATCTAACAAAAGTAACATAGTAAAAGAGTTTTGTTTGTATGTACAACTATATAGTAAGCTTGAATTTCTAGACATGTTTGCTAGGTGTGTGTCCAATGAAATATGCTGGACACACATTCCATGTAGTACTAACACAAAGGCTAAACATTAAAACAACACGATGTGAAAACCCAGCATGGTAAATTTTTTAAGTAGAACTTGGATACAGCAGTATGTAAATATATTTTTCATACATATTGAACTAGAAGATACATATGATATATTACTAATTATTTTCCAACTCTTTTCTTCATATATATATATATATATATTATATGCATATGTTCATTACAATTAAAATCTTTGCATATATCTGAAAGTGCTTGCTAGATGCTTGAATTATACTTGCTCTATGTACAATGTTAACTCTCTCTTATTTCTTTGTAAAAAGGTTGTACACTTAGGCATAAGTTCATCCCATTTTTAAGAGTGTCAGGCAAATGCTCCTATTAACTGTCGGCTAAGCATCTGAGAAGTTTCAGTAAAGTTTTTGAACATGTCCAAGCAGTAGCAGATGTGGCTAGCAATGCCCAAGAAGTTTCATGTTCTGAAATGTTCTGAAGGGACACAGCTCCTTTACGTAAATGTTTGTACTTCTTAGTAGTCCTTACCCTTTTCCCGAGTGTTTGTGTGTCAGACATCCAAAGAAGTTTGTGTAATAAACTAGTCCTCCCCTAACCTGCCCACCCACCCACCTGCACCCCAAAAAGGAAAAAGAAAAAGAAGCAGCAGCGAGTCTTGCACAGGAATAGTTGATGTAGAAACTATAGGCCTCGCCTTACTTTTCTTACCTTTTCTCCTTGAACCTTACTTGTGTACCGCACGAACTGTTCTCCCAATAATGAAAACAAATTGGTTCGAGTTTCAAGCTATTTTTTTTCATACTGTTGCTGATGTAATAAAACAAATATCTTAAATGTCAAATTAAGTCCTATGCTTAAGTGTCATAAACTTTCTACTAGGTATTCCATTAGCTTAGGCTATTATTGGTCTTAGTCTATAAATAGGTGATGTAAGCTTAATTGTACTTAGTTTTAAATTGAGGAATATAGACATTAATTGAGCTAAGTTGCTCTAGTTCTCTCTCTAACCATAGGGGGGTTACCCCTAGGTTGGAGGTTTTGTTCACTCTTGATTTTAAACCTAATTGCAATTTTGTTCACTCATAGTTTTAAATTAAAGAATATAGACATCAATTGAGTTAAGTGCTCTGGTTCTCTCTCTAACTCTAGGGCTTACCCTTAGATTGGGGGTTTTGTTCTATGTCCCTTGATTTTGAACCTGATTGCAATTTTGTTGCCTGATGTAGTCAATTGAGTTAAGTGCTCTGGTTCTCTAACCATAGGGGGGTTACCCATAGGTCGGGGGTTTTGTTCACTCTTGATTTTAAACCTAATTGCAATTTTGTTAACTCATAGTTTTAAATTAAAGAATATAGACATTAATTGAGTTAAGTGCTCTGGTTCTCTCTCTAACTCTAGGGTTTACCCTTAGATTGGGGGTTTTGTTCTATGTCTCTCGATTTTGAACCTGATTGCAATGTTTTTTCCTGATGTAGTAAAACAAATATCTTTAAATGTGAAATTGAGTCTTATGCTCAAGTGTCATAAGTTTTCTTCTAAGTATTCCATTAGCTTGGGTTGTTAGTGACCGCAATCTATAAATAGGTGATGTAAGCTTAATTGTACTTAGTTTTAAATTGAAGAATATAGACATTAGTTGAGCTTAGTGCTCTGTGTAACCCTAGGGGTTACCCCCTAGGATGGGATTTTGTTCTCTCTCTCTCTCTATATATATATATATATATATATATTGAACCTGATTGGAATTTTGTTTTGCATTCGTTGCGTTCTTCTACTTTGTTTAATTCTGTCTTTCGTATCCTTCTTGTCTTTATTTTCTGAACTCCATAGAGAAATTATTTATGCTATACTGATGAATTCTTTTGGTTATCTTTTCCATTGTTTGTTTTGGGACTTTGTGTAGCTGTTATGATGAAGAGAAGGATACCTTAGCTTTCTCAAAGGTGGATTCATTTCTTCCAAATAGAGTATACTACCACGGATGCCTTAAGTTCTTCCTCCAAATTACAAAGCGGAATGGTCCAGAGGTAATTCATTTTTGACATGCTTGTTGGACAAGATAATAATTGAAAGATTTCAGTCACTTTTGCAAATGTACCTCTAAATTAAACTTAGTTATGTGTTTTCTTATAATTGTTTATATTTATTTTCCTCCTAAACCATAATATAGGTAATATACTTTGGGGATCATCTATATAGTGACTTGCAAGGGCCTTCAAAAGCTGGGTGGCGTACTGCTGCCATCATCCATGAGTTAGAAGTATGTCTTCAATTCCATTAATTACAAGTGGCTTTTTCATTTCTTGCCAGTACTTTCCAAAAAAAACAATTAATCACTTTTGTTCGTGTACTTGGAAACTTTTGACGGTTTGTAATGTTGAATATTGATTTTGAGAAGAGGTGATCTGGAAACTTGATTCTTTGATTATGTCTTCTTCTAGTAAACAAGATATTCCTATTTATCTAATTACTGAATCTAATCTTGAACATCTTTTCTTTTCATCTTTTTAAAATTATTTATTATTATCCCTATTTATCTTTTTTATTTTATCTTTTGATGGTTTTTTCATCTTATTATTATTATTATACATATGTAATTTTTGTATTTTTTGCATCATCTTGATGCTTTTCTAATAAAGTTTGTTTATTTATTCAAAAAATATATATATATATATATGTATGTATGTACTTTGCCCACTAAAAAATTGATATTCATGATTAGAACATAAAGTTAGTTCAATAGAAGTTGAAAGAGAAAAATGCTATTTTTTTCTTTTTTGTTTTCAGAAGAGTTACTAATGGAAAATAATGTCTGGCACAACACTGTCGAAAACATGAGGCAAGAATGCGTTGAGGCAAGAATGCGTTGAAGCATGAATTGACCTAGCGATGTGAACCTTAGGTGAGGTGCACTAGTAGTGAGCAACATCCTTCCCTGCTATGATGCGCAAAGCCAAGCTTGATAGGAGCCCGAGCTAAGAGAATTGAACAAACCTTTGAACGAATCTCAGGATTGAAAATGGATAATTTGCAATCATGATTCACGATGTTCAGATATATCATAAGAAAATCATACAACTCCAACTTATCTTAAAAATCTCTTCTTTTATCTTAGATGAAAACGGTGCTCCACAACTCATAGCATAGCTGCTGCTTCTTCTTCTTCTTCTTCTTCTTCTTCTTCTTTTTTCAATCTACAACAAAAATAAACTTTATTTAAAAAGAGAAACAAGTGAAAAAGGAAAAACATATGACAAGAAGTTCGCCAAAAGATGTGAAAAATGAAAAAAAATTAATAAATAAAACAAAAAACAAAAACCAATATTACAAATCACACGCTGCTTTCCAATTTCTATAAATTAAAACAGAGGAATTCCCTTAAAAGGGGATGATAGTATATAGAAACTCAAAAAGACGACGCAATAGATTCTATTCCATAAAGCTTCAATTTCCTCCTCTTTTCTTTTTTTGGTGGACTTCTTGTTTCCATCTTATGGCATTTGATATTTTTTATTAATAATTTATTCACTCTTTGTTTCCGATAAAAACAAACAAACAAAAATAAATCCTCAATATTATCGTAAAAAAATCCTTGCATTTCTTTCCAGTCAAATCACCCAAAATGCTACACAAAATATAGAAACCCTATAGCGATCCCGGTTTTCCTATCATTGTTTAATTGTATTTCAGACTCGGTTCCGTGGATGTATTGTTGTCTTTTTCCCGTTTCCATCCTTTACTCTTTGTATACGAGTCTTAGGTCGCGTTGGGTAGGTTTAAAATAGGTTGGTTGCGTTTGGAAACCAAGGGTTAGTGTCCATTAAATTTTCATAATGGTTCATTTAATATCCTTATTAGTGGTTCATTTAATATCCTTATTAGTGGTTCAGTTACTATCCTTATTAGTGGTCCATTAGAGCGACCAATCCTTAATATCTTATATTTATTTATGGGGTTTCATTACTTTGGTAACCTCTTGGTCATAAATGGAGGTTAAATAGAATTCATGAACTTGGTTAATGG